TGACTGCGAGAATAGTCAACTCGATGACGCGATCAGAAACAATATGCTAACGTCAAGGTGAGGTCAAGCCAATTCCTCCTCCATGGGGGCAGTTTTATAAACTTTGACATCTCCGTTATGTATTCCATCTTTGCTAGCATTCCTAAATAATAGTAGGTTCAAGCAACTTCATCCATTCACTTTCCATGTCACTCGCTACCGTATACGATGTTTGTAATTTAGATGCAAACTAGTCCCTGCAAGAGTGTCTCAAATTGGAGATGAATCCTTTCAACATACCGACTCTCCAATGTTCTGTGGCAATATTAACCAATGAACCTGGCTAGACATACGTCCCTGCCACCTACTCTTTCCACAATCTCTGCCAACTTCTTTTCAAAATGCTTCTGAAGCCATTTAAGCAAACTGACGCTTTTTAACGCTTATTATCCAAGCTTAAACAAAACCATGTCAGCTGAACTGCGTACCTTTGTCTTCTACCGGACTTTACTGTAGCTTTGATGTGGAATTTGTGAAGAACAGTAAGGCGAAATGTATTGCAGTCTGAAACAATTGATAATATTTCAATGAAGAGCTTATATTTGCGCATAAGTGCCATATCTGGATAGGGATGTATCTTTGCCACTGATGCTGCTGATAAGGGAATAAGATGCATTCGTAAAGAAACTAAGACTGATATGGTTCCATGGGCACCACATATCCGAACAAACTGGATAGAGTGTAAGGTTTCGACTGCGTAATCCATTTAGTGGATCATTAGCGTTCTTTCAATGATGATTCGCTTCCACCTTTGCATCCCTTGCATTCCACCAAGTGTTGATTATTAAAGTACTCACCAAAAGAAGAAAAAAAGCCAAGTTGGATTATTGCTTTGCAATCATCATTTAAAGGCTTGGTTGCTTCAATATCCCTCCTCTAACTAGTGTGCTAACAAATTGGTGAGTATGGTGCATCAAGCCCCATTAAAGGAACTTACTCAATTTGTCGAATCTGTTAGAATTTGGCTGTTGCGACTTGATCTCTAAAGGGATCAGGAGTGGTCAAGCTGGCCACTTAATAATGGCCCAAAGACAACGCACGTGTTTAAAACTCGTGTGGATCCAACAACAGTAAAAGGTTTTTCTGCTTCCAATTCTGATTTGTCTCAGTTGAACTATTTAGTTATTAATGCCCTTCAAATTTGCGTTTTATGCTAGAAAGGCGAACGATTAATTTTGTGCAGTTATGGCTCGGATTCGATATAGTGCAGTTCGATGGAGCGAATATTGTTGGTGTGCATATACGTGGTTCACGCCTTCATGAACTAATGTAATGGATTAAATGGAGTAAAACTGAGCGGGGATGAATTTCTAGAGGCGGCTGCCAAGTATGAGTGGGCCTAAACAAATTGCGAAACCTAAATAGAATGCCACCTAGGCGTGTGTCAAATCAACGAAGGTTGTTGTGCTCTCGCGCCTCAATGCACATCGGAGAGAAATACATTCCAGTGCTTTAGAGCATCAAACCATTAGACTGGCATGCTCTTCTATGTAATATTTAAGAACTGATGTCGACAATCTATTCGTAACAAGTAGCCATTAAACGTTAACAAATGTTAATTCACTTCTGAGACTAACGTACAAAGCCCACCTAAAGTAGCCAATTATGAGAAGTTTCCCCTCTTGCCCTCCTTGACGATTTTTGTGCTTTGGGATCCTAAGTAGAGCTTATAAGTGAAAATGCAGAGATAATGCTAGAGATAATAAGACTGAAGTGGGATGTGCCGAGGCAGTGAATAAAACTGGCGGAGTTTCATTATTTTCGTGTAATTATTTGTGTATTAAAGTAAAGAAGCACTTCTGTTTGTGCATTTTATGCCTCTGGCTGGCGCCATGACATAATCCTGCTAATTATACCTCGTTTATGAACATGCTAATGCCGCCGAAGAATGCTTCAGCTAATAAGTTTACTGTTCTGAGGTATTGACGAGAAGGAAGTAGGAGAAGCTGAATGTCGAGCACATTATGCTAATGGTGGCTAACCCTCAGTTCAACTGCTCGCCTGATGTAGGGGCCAGCACAACCCCAGACGCCGAATTGTACGAATGTTGTACTACCCTTGCCCAACTCGTTACTAATCACTGACCGCTAAATTGCAGTAGGTCGGCGTGTGATCTGCAGAATGCAAGAACACAGAACACAGAAGGTTGACGACAGCAGTGTGCACCGATTAGTATCCAGCGTTCCAGTGTTAACACGGCCTTTTCTCTTCACTCGTAACCTGCTGTCTGCGATCGTGATGGCTAATGAGGCTGAAGATGGCGCCTAGAGCACTGTGTTATCGCTTCCACATCAGCCGACTTCATGACCTTCACCCCACTCTAACTCTTCATTCTTCCAGTTCTCAGGTCATCAACTCGTGCGATCATCCTAACTCAGTATTTAGATTCATAGTAAGCACCTTTAAATCACTGAGGGACATCAACCAGGTAGTAACTGATCGCACCTTGATAAACCTACAAATGTGCGCTTCGTGTTTGTCCAGCTTAAGCTGACTCGGGGTTCACAGACCACCTGCAAAGTGAGTAGGCATTGAGGCTACACTGGTCCATCTTGGTTGCTTGTTATTGATGTACAATAACTAATGATAAGCATTCACAATGGAAGGAAAGTAGGTCTTCTTAGAATCTGACTACTTGATCCATGAGAACGAATTCAAAATGAAAGAGAGAAGTGGCAAACCTATTACTTTGGTGGCAGTGCCAGTGGAACTACTTCCACTTAAGTATATCATGCACGCCAATTTTCATTACCATTTCTCGCTTACCGTAGAGACCGTGGTAACCTAAACATCACGTTGGTTGAATACTGTGCTACCTTTAACCAACTTGTCACTGACCAGAAGGAAGACACTTGTCAACGAGTTCTTTTATCGCTACCACTTAGTAGCAAAAGTTGGCGAAGAGAACGCAACTAATCTCCAAGTTTACTGAATGGATAATCAACCAGCTTAGACACGGAGTTCGCCCACTCATATTGGTGGAGAAACTTTGCACCACAAAACCAACTCTCCCAGCCAGCTTTTTACCTTCTCAGCGAAGAGCGGAATCATCAGAAATTGCATAGAGTCCCGTGCTGCTACAACTGAAACAGGAGATCTACTTCAATACTAGCAATTTATTGGAACGCGTCTAATAGGACCGCCTTAGTATCCTCATAATTTGGACGAAATGATCTAAGCTGTGTCAAAATAAAAGTAAGCAACTGTGCCCCTTCGAAAAGTAAGTCTCAAGTACTCTTTCAATTCAATGAATTGTAACTGGGTGAAGCGGAGTCACTATTACTGAAAACGCTAACATTTTATTTAAATGCGAACCACAGGTATGCAATTATATCCTTAAAAGTGAGCAGCTGTATCCCTCTGAAAAGTTAATCCTAAGCCAACTTTCATTTCATCCACACGGAGCTGGTTGAGGTCGAGTCAATGTTATTCCAAACGCAATTAATTTGTTTCAATGCGCATTCCAGGTCCACTTTGAATTCCTTTAAATTTCTACTAATGGATCGCAGCTTTTAAAAAGTAAACGTAAATAGCTTTACCTATTCGCGAACCAAGGCTTAGGTACTCTTTCGTCTTGGCAGCTATCCCAATAAAACTTACTTATGCAAGAGAAAGTCTTCTATTATACATGCAATCAGAAAAGTGAAATAAAGTGCACCCATTTAAAATTTTATATAAATGGGTAGAATCAATTCCAGTATTCGAAGATCCTTAGGAAAAATCGCATGTACACATTGTTGCAAATGGATGAAGTTTGTTTGATTAATAATAAATACGTTTTGAGCTTTGAACTGCGGGATAAACTAGTTTCGGGTATACAAGCTATGTATCCGAACCGCCTGCAGAGTGGTAAATTTCTTTAGACTAATGCATAAATGCATCGACAACCATTGGTAGAGGGGTAAAGTGGCTTTCTGGAGGCCATATCATACACCATTTATCAGCTAGGGTCGTGGAGGTGGTTCCATCCATTGGCACAACTCACGAAACTTAATGTGGTTCATCTTTTTTGTAAACTCAACCCAATCGCAACCAAGGGACCGAAATGGTGTGGTTTTGCTGATTAAGCTTCCACTAACGCCAGCAAAGGCAGAGGAGGATCTTCCCTCCACCACACGTAGGAAATAGTAACCCGCCAAGAAAAATGGGAAAGGACGTCCGATGGTTTAGTTTTACTTGCCGTCACCGTCGTCGACGTCACCGCAGCCAGAAATGCAGCATTTGGCGTCTGTTCCCTCTTGACAATTGACTGCTATTAACGGAAGTCGATCGGTCACCTAACCGGATAGCCAATGGGTAACGCGTGTAGAAAAGAGGCTCCCGTTGGTCTGTCGACTGACGCTCCCTCATTACCCATTTCTCTCCTAATTCTCAGTATGTACTTCTCTCTATTTCTTGGCTACAAGTTAGCAATATAAAACGGGTAAGATTCGACCTAAAACGAAACAATTTGTGTTCCATTGGATGGGATTTACTCACAATTTTTCCTTGCGATGGTTTTCTGAACTTAGAAAAAAGGCGGAAGGAAAAGTTTTCAGTTCATTTTGAGTACTGCTGGGCAATTCATGCCTGGAAATAAAAGAGAGTAGAGCGTATCAATTTAGGTGCAAGAGGCGAACAGTTGTTGTCTCCAAGAATAGTTACAGTTCTTCGCAAAACGTGCAAAATGAATGGAGGGTGTATTCACTGCTAAAGACACATATGAGGAAATCTGGAACCGAGGAGACAAATGACTTCAAACTCACTGATCTCTCTTGGAAATACAAATACATGTGGAGTTTCTTCTGGTTTGGGAAATGGTATTAGGGACAGAGGATTGTGCTGGCTATCGTGCGTGTCCATAGATAGATGTAGGAGCACTGACACAGAGGCAGACTTGTGTAAGGAACGACGAAACTTAAAACAGGCCCGTGGAGGAAGGTTGTCACGTTTGTTCCTCCTTGCCTCATTTTTCTCATTCTGCAGTAGCACAATTATAACTCTCCGGACTTTATCTACCTTGCAGATGAGTGGAAGAGGTGTCGCAAGTTCAGTTTATCGACAACTTTATGCAGGTATGGTAGGGAAAGTATCCCAGATAGTTCATGTTTAGTGCCGCTTCAGTTGTTAACAGATTCAATTTTAGCCCTTCTGTTTGGGATCATCACCGATTGTCCCGGCACGGTAAGGTTTATCACCCAGCAGTGGAAATCAGGATAGATGTAATTTAGGATCGCGTTTGCTTTCTGCTAGCATCAATGTAGAGGAATGGCAACCTTAGCAAAACCTTGAACAAAACGCAGGTAGAAAGTTGCCAAACCTAGGAAACTGCAGAGCCCCATCTAGTTGAGCGGTGTAGGTCAGGTCCTCACTTGTTTTTCTCTACCTACTTCTACCACTGTCACCTGCCAATATCTTGAATTTAAGTCTGAGGCACAGAACCACTACGACCAATGTAAGGAGTCCAGTGAGTCTTTAATAGAGGTTAAGGGAAACGCATTCTTCTTAGCTACGGTGTTTAACTTCCTGTAGTCGTGGCATAACTGTAGTTCCATGTTGACACAGACGGCTTTATAAGCTCGCCTCGAATCATCCCCCCAACTGGATGGTTTACTTCTTCTAGTAGAGGTGGTGAAATACGTCTGGGTGGTTAAAAGATGGGTCTAGCTTCGTCAATCTCAGTCGTATGTTTAGTAATATTTGTTCGTCCGTGTTTCACACTTTGCCATGGAAAGATGTTCGT